GGAGGAGGAGGAGGAGGAGGAGGAGGAGGAGGAGGAGGAGGAGATTGATGCCATTACCTCAAGAGCCAAAGGGCAGAGAAATGAGAAAGTCTTAAACTGTTTGGAAGAGCACCTTGGATGTAGTAATCTCCCAGGGAGCAAAGGTCTACCCAAGAATACATTATTACTCCCAAGTCATCCAATTTCCATATTTAGTTGGATCAGCACTAACCTCTACATGAGTGCACCCAATGATGAAACAATTGATCTTATTCCTCAATTCCAAAACTCATTTTCTAGAAACTCTGACCTTTGACTGGACCTAACAGGACCAGACTGTGATCTACTGTAAGTATTTATTCTCTGCCAGTTTTTCACCCCAGGCTGTTTAAGTACACGACTTACTCTATTGTGTGAACTATTCTAGTACTCTCTCTGATCAGTTCCCACATGATGGCTAAATATCTATTTAAAGCAAGATGCTCAGACTTAAAAGCAGGTTCACAACTACAAAGCAGTTATTCCACAACTCTTTTAACCTCTGCCTAAAATCCATGCAGAAAGGAGCTTTACTCTCCTATTAGTTCCCACTTTTCCACCCTTACAGCTGGAGACAAGTCTCTCCAAATCTCTGAAATTCCTTTCTTTCCTCAATACCTCTTTCAGGACATTTTTCTCCTGCTCTATGGCAGTGCTTGAACCTTAGGTGTCCTGATTTGCCTTTAAAGCCACTCTTCCAAAACAAACACTGCTTCCTCTTCCTAAGGGTACCAGGCAGACCGAAGTAATCGAGAGTGAAAGACTCCAGACATCATTGAAACCAGCCAGTATCCTTCCACTTGCCAAGTCTCAAACCTTTAAATAATCTTCTTGGCTTTCTGTATTTTTCACTGCTTGAATTTATTGTATGCTTTATTTACTTGGAAGTTACTCTTTATTTTGGTATATTTTATATAGACTGCTAATTCTTCCCATTTAAAACCATTATAACTCACTGTTGTGCTTTATATATGCATGTCAATAACATTCTTTAACTGGAAGAGACTATTGCATCTGCAGTAACTGGGTTTAATTTAAAAAGCGGCCTTTAATCTGACTCACACTCCTGAGCCTATCTGGTAACAAGCTCCATTATCAGAACCCAGTTTCCTTTCAGATGTGTAAAACAGGCTTCCATGAACCAAAGTGCTTCTCACAATTTCTTCCCTCTCACCATACCTGCTCTTGCAGTTTGCTGGACAGTGAAGAGTTATAGAAGCAACTTGGGAGCAGCACAACCAGCTGCCACTAATAAAAAACCAGAACATGCCAATAGAACATGCCATGACAGAGGCTTAACATTAATGCAATAACCCATCTTACACTGTCATATGTCAGTATAACATTTTACAGCATCTACGCCAAAAAGAAAGGAGGCTGTAACTTACACCCTGTAGACGGAAGGCTATCAAAAGCTAAGCAAGACCCTTTGTCACTGTTTTGAAAAAGTTGAACACAGTACATACATCCATTCCAATTCTGGGGATCTTCTATAAGCTTGAAGAACACCAAGAGCAATTTTCAAGTTGTTTTGTTCCTGTAGTTGTTCTGTTCGCTCAGGATTAAGGCAAGTGAAAAGAATCATAGAGCAATAATCAATGATTTTCTCATCCTGATGATTTAAACAATTCCTCAAAAAAACAAACAAAAAAAACCAGTCACTGATGACAGCAGTAGCTAAATTATAATATCTTCACAATCAAAATAATTAAGAAGAATTTTGACAAACTCAGAGGTGCAAAGAAGGACAATGAAGATGATTGGAGCCTGGAAACTTTTCAACAAGAGACTGGGGGAACTGGGAGTGTTTAACAATGAGAAACAATGGTTGAGGGGAGAATATTGATTTATCTATTTACTAAGTGGATATGTTGCTCCAATCCATACCGAGTACTTTACATACCCTACTTTCATAAATAAGGTTAGCAAATATGCAAGTATCAATAACAACAGAATATTATAGTACAAAGCACAATTTATCTCCAGAGATCAACAAAGTAATTCAGTTTCAACCAAGCACCAAATTACTAGAGGGAATAGTTCACTATGTCTCTGCTCCTACGGCCTCCTGCAAAAGCCAGGCTTTAACTGCCTTTTTAATACCCAATAGTGTCGAGGCCATAACAGCACAGCACTCTTCAAATACCTGAAAAGGAGTCAGCCACAGAGAGTAAGTCATGGTCTTCCTATCATTCCTGAGTGCAGGACATGGAAGAATGGAGTTAAGTTACAGAAAAGCAGATACCTGCTCAGTGCCAGCTTGGGATAGTGCTTAAAGGCACTGGGTCAGAAACCAGGAGACCATGAGTTCCAGTCCTGCCCTAGGCATGAAGCCAGTTGGGTGACTTTGAACCAGTCCCTCCCTCCCAGCCCCAGGAAGAAGGCAAGGGCACACCGCTTCTGAAAAGGTGGCCAGAAAAATGGCATGGACTTGTCTAAGTAGTTGCTTGGAATCAATATGACTCAAGGCACCCAAAAAACCCATCCCTGCTAACCAGATATACTTGCTCCTTGCTACTACCTGATTCATCTGCATATTAAGGCTTTCTTTCTTTTTCTTTCTTTTTTAATCTACTTTCTGTTGACATTTTGTCCAGTTATTCACTGGAGATATCCAAACATGAATGAAATTTGACTTCTGCATCTACAGGTGATAGAAAACAGATCTTTCCTAAGATGTAGGATCTACCTATCTGCGTTTGATTAAATATAAATCTTAAAGCCGCAGTGAGAAGCTGATGGTCCTGCAATCCAATTTAATCCAATCTAAAACAAAAACTCTCTCGCTTTGACCCTTTAAGTTAACATGGAGGAAGAAAGCCACAGAATATAATCCCAATTCCCTTGTTCCCCCAGCACTTTTTCTCTCCAAAGAGAGAAATGATGTTGGGCTAGCGAACAACATCAATGAACCTTAGAATCGAGCATCATTAAAGTACTTTCAAGCAACACTACCCTTTGTGTGAGAAAAGGACGACACCCGCAGATGCTTACAAGAAAAGAGAAGGGAAAGCAAGCTTCCAAACTGAATTCTGGGAGTCACGATTTCCTGTCGCAATATTTCCAAGAAACTGGAGGCTACAACGAAAAGCTAGAGGGGAAAAAAGACACGTCATGAAATGAAGAAGAAAATTGCTTATATTAAAGAATTCTAAACACATCCCTAAGCTTATATTAAAAGGGCGGTTATTAGGACAGCCTGGCTACCTTCCTTATCCCATTTATCAACCACCAGCCTTTCATTTGTCAATCCTAGAAGCAAGTTCATCAGCTATGTAACACACGGAGCCTGCTTTTATACTTCGTGAATTATAGGTCTGTCCTTTTCAGACTGACTCTTCTGTTCTTTCTCCACTCATAGCCTGTTCTTCTTTTTTCCTCAAAAAGAAAGGAGGAGGAGGGAGTCACTGAAAGTAAAAACAGGGATGAGGGTCAACCCACTTTAAATCAGAATGCAGTCAAGAGGTGGGTCCCAACATGACAGCTGGAGGCTAATGCTAGAAGGATCGTCAAAGCTAGTGCCCCCCATATGTGGGATTACTATAAGCAGTCTGGGGTTCTCTTGAGAAGATAGCCCTTGCACAGATCTGTGTTTCTACTCATGAGAAGGCTGGCCCCAAAACACATTCTAAAGGGCTCCATTTCAGTGTCAAGGAGAAGAATTGGGAGGTGTTGCAAAAATCAACAGAGCTCTTCTACTTCAAACATTAAGTACACATTTGTCTCCCAACACAAATGTGTCTCTCTACATGTGTGTGTGCAGATTTAGGTAATGCTAGATTTATTTATGTTTGATGTTAAGCAGAAGTTATTACAGCAGATTTCCCTTAATAAAGATATTGTCTTAATTCAAGACTAGGTTGCAGAATGTATGTTTTATTCGCTGTTGCAAAATAGCATCGAAAGTGACTCCATTTTTGTCGGAAAGGAAGCTTGAAAAAAAAAAAATCCCAAGTTCAGCCAGGTAAGGAAACATAACAAAGTCTATACACTGTACAGTTTGCCATTTTTTAAAGTTTTGCCCCAAATACTTATTCAAACAATTATTTAAATCCAGCACATAACAGAATATTGACAGGTATGGTGACTTGAACAAGTGAGCAAAGAGACAATGGAAGGAAAGTACAAATCCAATGCAGGGACAATATTATTACAGGCTGCATGGTGTAAAATAGCAATATTTCAAAAGGAAAATATTGAAGTCACTCACTACCCACTTTATTTTTAGACAGCTTGGCAAACCGCTGCAATTTGCAGTCAAGGAACTCAACACCCTCAGATCTCCATACTAGAAAATTGAAGCCAGCATATTCCATCGCCAGCATTTGCTTTCTTTCAAATGCATCCAGTATGCTAGTTTTAGATATTACACACATTATATAAATCTTCCTCTCTGTATGATTTGGGGTTTTTAAAAAATTGATTTTCAGTGAAACATTTTATCCAGTAGCTATGATCCAAAAGCAGAAGTCCAACAGATTTAAAGTTATAATAATAATAATAATAAAAAACTTCTAAAAACCAAACAAACAAACAAACAAAAAAAGAAGAGTTTGTAGACATCCACAACATTAAGACAGAAGGCATTTCTGGCAAAATCAGTAAGTTCCCAGTTTCTTCCTTGTTTAAAGGCTAGCATTTAAACATACCATTAAATATTAAAATATAGTTAACCAGATAGTATTAAAGCAGTTGGAAGTGTTGATTGCGAGACCCTGGAAACTGTAATGGAGTATTTCTCCGAAAGGTGCTGAGCCAGCTAGCAATCAGAGTTGTTAGAAGGGCCTGCGAATGTTGCTTCTTGAAGCAAACAGAAGGACAATTTAAAATAAGGGCACCAGGGACTCCATCCAAAAAATCCCCTCTCTCTACATTTTGTACATGGCTTTTCTTCAAATGATGATGGCCCTTAAAAACATCTGAAGTTAGCTCTCAGAGTAAGGAAGAACATCTACCTTCATGCGTGAAAGAATGAGTCATCAACATAGGCAGTGCTGAAGAACCTACCCGCCAACACTTAAAGAAATGATAGAGGAAGAAAGCAAAACCCTCCATGTAGACCAGTGTTGTCCAAACTTGGCCACTTTAAGATGAGTGGACTTCAACTCCCATAGCTGGCTGGGGAATTCTGGGAGTTGAAGTCCACTCATCTTAAAGTGGTCAAGTTTGGACAACACTGATGTAGACAATCCAGTTGCTGCTATTACTAAATAATATACAATATAAAATAATTTTGTTTACCTTTTACAATAGAACAAAAACAAACAAAAAAGAAATAATGTTGACACCATAGGAAGACATTTTAAATCCAATGCTTTGAAACATGAAGCCAAGGATTATTTGTTTTTGTTTTTTAAACAGAGATACAAAATAAGATTTTTAGGAGAAATAACATGGTCAACATATATTGTTGCCCAAGTTTCCCACTTTACAAATGATCAATATTCCTTTTTCCTTCTATATTTTCAAAATATGTCACTTTTCATAAGATTAATGGCTTTTACTGGGTTTACTAAGTTAAAATCCACAGCACATCATCAGATTTATTTTTATTCCCTCCTTAACCAATATGTTAACAATCTATTCTCTTCCTCTTTAAAGTTATGTTTGGTCATTTTTGACCATCTACATTTTATCCCCAGTAGGAGAAATATTACTTGGTTTAACTTCTCTATCAATTATGCACGGAGAGCTGGTTTGGTGTCGCGGTTAAGGCCCCAAGCAGAAACAAGGAGATGGTGAGTTCTAGTCCCACCCTAGGTCCAAAGCCAGCTGGGTGACCTTGGGCCAGTCCCCTCTCTCAGTCCCCTCTCTGGGAAAGAGGCAAGGGCAAAGCACTTCTGAAAATATTGACAAGAAAATGCAAGGACAAGTCCAGTCAATTGCCAGGAGTCAAGATCAACTTGAAGGTGCACGCGCATGCACACATGAACGTGCGTGCGTGCACACACACACACACACACACACAGAGTATTGCTATAAAAGGCTATTCAAATGAATCTGGATTCAGACAAAAAGACAAACCGGAATTCTGGAAAACAGTTGTACCTTTTCCTATCACTCTCACTCAGCTCCTCATCCAGCAGAAAGAACTAAGCATGCCAGGAGTTCCCCAGCAAGAAAAGGTTTCTGAGTTACCTCTTCCCCTGACTCCCAGCTTGCCATTCCCAAACAAGCCAAACAGGGTAAGAATTTGGCATTATCACCGGTTACTCCACTGGGGAGTTCCTCAGGGTTAAGAGCTCTTTCCAAGGCGCACACACACAAATATGCATACAGTACAAAACTGAGCAAAATTTCAATATTAAAATAGTTTTTAATTTAACTTTCATTTTGTGAATATTGACTCACTATGTAGACAATTCTACCTATTAGTCCTAATTTTACTGAACTTAAATGTCCCCAAAACACAAGTTATGCTATTTAATTTAAGCCATTCTGGAAATTATTGAAAGAGTGAGAAATGAATTCCTACAAAACAAAGAGATTCCTGAGAGGCTATCTTTCTGGTACCTTATTTTCACTCTAATAAGTAATACAACACATAACAGACAGCTTTTTCCAAGGAAGTCATCTCACCTGGAAGACTGGTGTCAAGAACCTACACTCAATGAAGTAACATCCCTTACAACTAGAAATTCATTACTCATAAAAAGTACAGATGTGAGACTAAGGATGCAGAACCATCACAGTAGGAAGATAGTCACTAACTCTGGCTTACAAAACAAGCACAGAAAAACTCACACTGTTGAATGCCCCCAATTCCAGCACAAGCCCCAACTCCACACTTCAGTGGATAACAGGATGGGGAGTATGGATCCAGTTTACAGATAAACAAAAAAAGGAAGGCAGGAATGGGCAGAGTATAATCCGTTGCTTTAACAGGTCTCTTTTTTAAAATAAAAAGTTGGGTGTCATATCTTAACGCTTTCCCCTGTTTAAACGGTTGCAGAATTACAATCAAGGGAGATCTTTGAGCAAAGGGGACTTCAATCGCCTGCCGCATGTTCCCAAAGAGCATATCACAGCGCCCTCTAGTGGCCAGAGGTCCCAACTCTCCAACTTGTCCCAATGACATGCAATCCAATTTATTTAAAGTATTAAACCAGATATAAATTAGCATATTCTACATTTTAGAAGTAAATGGGTATATGGCCTGAGTTCTTGTCAGGCAACTGGGTTTCAGACCCAGAAACAAACAAACCTGATAGGGTTGAAGGGCTCAGTTCTCACTCCTATACATCTCTTTTGTGCTTAAATCAGACAGCCCATCCCTCACTTTGCGTGGGGTTTGAAAAAATCCAGATTTCTCTAAAAATAAATATGCTGCTGTTCTATCCGGGTCTTTTTCTCTTCCTTCTGTCACACATGTTCTCACAATGCTATCTCCTCATTTCAGATACTGATGAAATGTGCAAATGCATACGTCCCATTAAGATTTATAATCAATGCATTAAATGTCAGTATAAGGAAACAGCATTATTAAAACAACCCTTCGGAATTATTTTCTTTCAGTATCGTCACCATTGTTTAAAAAGAAGCACTTATGTCCCTCATTTTTCAATGTCACACAATGCGAGGTAACAGCTGGGGCATTCAAATGGGAAAAGGTCGGCTGGAGCCAACAGCGCCACCTGCTGGCCACGCCTTAAACCAACCGTCTACTGCTGTGTGTATATAAACAGATGGGCGGTTTGATGTTCAGGGCAGAACACATGTCAAGAAAGTTGTACTAGCCAAGTTGTACTAGCATAATTCCTTTGCACATTCTTGGCAGAATCTGCAGTGGAGATTTCGCGAGGCCTAGGGTTTAATTGCTGTAAACAGAAGATACCTGGCAAAGCATTTGGCAGCCTAGCTATTGAAATATTCATCGGATCATTTGCCAACGACAGGAGGGGATGAAGCAGCGCAGAAGGATCCTTGGTTTGCCTGCTGCTGGTTCTTAAGCACAAGCCACCCAAACAAAAGCCACTTTATGTGCCCTTCGCCAGGAGAAAACACAGTGCGAGGCATGCTCGGGCCTGATCTCGTATGACAGTCTGATCTGATTTGCCAGCAAAACTACTAGAAGCAGACAAGAGTGACACG